GGCGGCGGGGACGGACGAGGGCGGCCCGCGGGCCCGGCTCCGCAGCCGCGACAGCTCGTGCGGCCGCCCCGGAACCCCGGGCGCGACGAGCGCCGCCAAGGGCAGCCCGAATGGCGAGTGCGGGCGCGGCGAGCCGCAGTGCAGCCCCGCGGGGCCCGAGGGCCCGGCGCGGGGGCCCAAGGTGTCGTTCTCGTGCCGCGGGGCGGCCTCGGGGCCCGCGCCGGGGCCGGGGCCGGCGGAGGAGGCGGGCGGCGAGGAGGCGGGCCCGGCGGGGGAGCCGCGCGGCAGCCAGGCCAGCTTCATGCAGCGCCAGTTCGGCGCGCTCCTGCAGCCCGGCGTCAACAAGTTCTCGCTGCGGATGTTCGGCAGCCAGAAGGCCGTGGAGCGCGAGCAGGAGCGCGTCAAGTCGGCGGGGGCCTGGATCATCCACCCGTACAGCGACTTCAGGTGCCGCCTCCGGGGGAGGGCGCGGGAGGGCGCGGGGCGCGGGGCGCGGGGGCCGTCCTTGGAGCACCGGGGGAGGGCGGGGCGGCGCGCGCGGCGGGTGACCTCGGAGCTTCTCGGTGACCTCGGGCGTGCCGGGAACCCGCCCCGGAGTGACCCGGGGGGGCGGAGTCCCCCCCTGGGGGGGGGGGGCTCCGGGGCGACCCCGGGACGCCCTTTGCCACGGACCCCGACATCCTCCGCCCTGCGGCGTGGCGGGCGGGGTGGGCGCGCGTCGCGGGCCGGGGAGCCGGGGTCTGAGCGCCGAGGGGCGGAGAGGACGAATAGAGGGGAACGTGGGCCCCGGAGGGCGGCGGAGCGGGAGGGAGGAAGAAGAAGGGCGCCCGGGAAGGACGCGCCCTGGGGAGGCCGGGGGAGAGGGGGTTAAGCGGCTCCCACGGCGTCCACCTGCGCCCCGCCTGCGAGGAGGCGCGCCCGGGCCTGGGAAGCGTGCGGGTCCCCACGCTGTGTCTCCCGGAGCCGCTCGGCCCGGGCTGTGCACCCATGTGGCGGTGGGTGTGTAGTCGCCGCTGTAGGTTCAGCCGGTTGATGGGTGGAGGGCGCGGAGCGGGGCCGGCGCGGGGCCACCGCCACCCGTGTTTGCGGTCCCGGTTCCCGGGCTGTGCGTGCGGCGGCCGGAGAGTGAGAGCGGCGTGTGTCCCCGTGGGCTGTGTGCGAACAGGGGCGCGTGACGGCGGCGGGGTTCCCGGGGCGCGAGCCTGTGGTTGGGGAGGGAGGTGTGTCTCCAGGGGTGTGTCTGCGTGGTGGTCGCGCGCGCGTGCCCCGGGGGGGGTTTGTGCTGGGTGTTGGGACGAGGTGGCGTCCGCGTGTGCGCCCGGGGCCGCTGTGCGCCGGTGGGCAGGAGCGTGAGCCGTGGGCAGGTGTCACGCGCGCGGCCGTGGAAGGCTGCGTGTGTGTCTGTGCGTCCACGCGTGCGGTGTGAGGTGGGGTGTGCAGGGGGGCCGGCCGGGGTGGCAAGGCCGGGCGCGCGGGGCGGGCGCGGTTTCAGCACCACGGACAGCGCACAGGGCCCGGGAGGGCTGCGCTTTTCCCGCCGGTCGCTCCTCCTCCAGGCCTGGGCACCCCAGGGCGTCCCCCATGGTGGACCCCTAAAGCTTGGCAGGGAGGCTGTCGGGATCTCTCTTCCCCTGGCCTCTCCGCACCCCTAGTGACTGGCTGGGGAAACTGAGGCCTCGGGCACACGAGTCCTGGACAGGGCCTGGAAGAAGGCCCTGGGATCCGCCTCCGAACCCTGAGGCCTTCCTGAGAGGTGAATACAGCTTTGACCAGAAGCCTGGATTTCAAGACAGGCCAGGGGTGGGAGGAGCCCTGAAACCCCCAGAGGGACCTTGTCCGGCCCCTCCCACCCTGCCTTTGGCCCCACTGGGAGAGCTTGGTCAGCGTCTGGGCTCTGGCCTGCAAAATGCGGACAGTGAGCCGGAAGGACGGGGCTTCCAGAGCTGCTGGTTGGCCTGGCCCCACTGCAAATCCCGCTCGGCACCCATTGACCAGAGGGCTGCGGTGGGGAGGGAGCTGCGGAAAGTGCCCACTCCCCTTCATCCCCTCCAGCATGACCTGCAGCGGTGGGTGCTGGCAGGTGGAGGCCCACACCAGCGACACCCTGGCTGCAGAGGGGTGGTCGGTGGGCTGGGGGCAGGTGGGCTGATCCTGGGGCTTCGGGGGAAGGCTGGTAGGAGGAGTGAAGCCCCGCATCCTTGCATCTACCTTGAGTGAGGTCCCCTGGAGGCCTGGGCAGGCTGTGGCCCCCCTCTGTGCTCTGAGGTATGCAGGGTTCACGGGCCCCTGTGTGGGCCAAGGGAGCCCCACCGGGGCAGATGAGTGGTGAAGGGGAACCACGTAGGCAGGGAAGGGGGTTAGCGGGGCCAGTCTTCAGGACTAGGGGAGTTACGGCATTTTAAAATCAGATTTATAAAAGGATTTAGACATTGTCAAGCTGGGGTGCACGGGGCCCCACCACCCCCCATAGCTCGGGACTCATGTCCTCAATCACTGTGGAAAAGGACCCCAAGAATATCTCAAAAGCAAGGTTCCCTAAGCCCGCGCTGGGCCAGCGCTGTTGGAAGCATCTCTGAGGATTAATAATATGAATTATTGTAGTGGTGAGGCCGGCGCTAACCCATGTTACCCAGGAGGATAGAGAGACGCAGGATGTCAGGTTGCTCGGTCAGAGCCACACGGCTGCTCGGGCGGATCTGGGTTTCCCTCTGGGCAGCCCAGCCCGGTGTCCACGCTCTTAACCGCCAGGCGGCCAGCCTCTGCCTAGGTCCCATCCAGGCCAAAGAGAGGAGGAAGGCACTCTGGGGGCCCCTAGGGGTGGGTGGTGGGTGATATTTGTGTGGATATTAATTTTTCATTTGTGTTTTGAGACGGAGCCTTGCTGTGTCGCCCAGGCTGGAGTGCAATGGTGTGATCTCTGTGCACTGCAACCGCCGCCTCCCGGGTTCAGGGGATTCTCCCACCTCAGCCTACCAAGTAGCTGGGATTAGTAGGTGGCACCGGTCACCACACGCGGCTGCTTTTTGTATTTTTAGTAGAGATGGGGTTTCACCATGTTGGCCAGGCTGGTCTCAAACTCCTGACCTGAAGTGATCCACCCACCTCGGTCCGAAAGTGCTTGGGATCACAGGCGTGGGCCATCACGCCCGGCCTGAGAATATTAATTTTGTGAAAACAGAGTTGGGGGGGGCGCCTTTCCGTTTCTGCCTTTTCACATTCGCCCTTTTAACTCACAGTCTGGTGGTACAGAAACCGTCCCTGATCAGGCACCACGGGAGGCTTAAGAGGGAGAAGGGGGGCAGCTACGGCCCCAGCCCCCGGGGTCCCCGTGCAGAGGCCAGCATCGCCCCTCCCTTGTGGGAAACTGGCCCGTGTCTGCCTGGCACCAGGAAGGGAACCATTAGTCTTTGCTGAACCGGAACCACCCCCACTCGGCTGGGCTGAGGAGGTGGGGGAATGCCGGGGAGCCCTGGCCGGAGGAGGCGTTTGAGGTGGCGGGGTGGGGGGAGGTGTGTGTGTGGGGGGGTGATCGGTGGTGGGAGGGTGTGCAGAAAGGCGGCCGGGCTGAGGGAAGAGCCGGGTGGGGCTGGGCCAGGAGGAGCATCGGAGCGTCCAGGGCGGGACCCTGCTGTGGAGGGTGTTTTTGGTGGCAGCCGCAGATAGAGTAGTGGGACCCCAGCCGGCTTCAGTACCAAGGCCGCCTATGACTGGCCAGGTGTCTTGGGTCCTCCCTGGGCCCCTCTGCCTCGGCTCCCCCAAAGGCAAGGTGGGGGTGCTCTGAGGGAGAAGGGGCGAGGGTCTTTCACAGTCTTGGCAGCGTCTCGTGGCCTTACGTCTCACACTGTCCCCGCCTCCCCTTCCTGCTGAGGGAGTGCTGGGCTCCTTGCCCAGGCCGGGCCCCCCAGGCACGTCCTCACCCCGGCCCTGTGGTCTTTGCCACGCCCAAGGCCGCCCTGCTCCTGTGCTCAGAAGTGGCCTCTTTCACGCCTCAGGTCATAGCTGCGGTATACAGCTGGTGCCGCATATTTGCTGCATTTGCTGAGGGGCGGAGCATGGGTCCTGGATCTTGGCGCTCACTCCTGGACAGCTGGCCCCTTTAGAAGGGCAGTTGGTGCAGGCGTGGCGGCTCAGGCCTGCCATCCCAGCACTTTGGGAGGCCGAGGCGGGCAGATCACCCGAGGTCAGGAGTTCCAGACCAGCCTGGCCAACACGGTGAAACCCCGTCTCTACTAAAAGTACAAAACTTAGCCGGGCGTCGTGGCAGGTGCCTGTTAATTCCAGCTACCCGGGAGGCTGGGGAAGGAGAATCACTTGAACCCGGAGGCGCAGGCTGCAGTGAGCTGAGATTGCGCCCCTGCACTCCAGCCTGGGTGACAGAGCGAGACTCCATCTCAAAAGAAAGAAAGAAAGAAAGAGCAGTTGGTTCATTCGTCTGGGGCTGTGGGTGGCTCCAGACCCCGGCTGACGTCCGCGGTCCCCAGAGGCATCCCTGGCACTTCCTGGGGTGTTGCTGGAAAAACAGGTTCAAGGACACAAGTTCAAGGTTTCGGGTTCAGAAGGTTTGAGTTTCCTTCTTTGTAGGTGACTGTGGTTCGTGCCTGAATTGGAACAGGCGTGAAAACCAAGGAAGGAAGGGGTTTGGCCTTGTGGAATCCCCAGGGCCGCGCCTCCCGGAGCAAAATTAGTTTAAAAATAAGCATCGTTCAGCCGGGGGCAGTGGCTGACGCCTGTAATCCCAGCTACTCGGGAGGCTGAGGCAGGAGAATCGCTTGAACCGGGAGATGGAGGCTGCAGTGCGCCGAGATGGCGCCACTGTATACACCCCAGCCTGGGCAACATTGTGAGACTCCATCTCAAAACATAGTGCAGTTCATTCCTCCTCCTGTCATCCCAAGTGCCCCTGGCTCTAAAGACCATACAGGTTCCGCCCGGGAAAGCCTGAGTTTTACAAAGGAGGGTGTTTCTGCAGGAGAGGGGCTGGGGCTCAGGGGGACACGGAGGCCCAGGGAGGGACAGTCCGAGGGGTTTGCGTTCTCTCCTCGGCTTTCTCTCGTCCACCCCCTGCTGCCAGGGTCACGAGGGGTGCGGAGGGGGGTGCTGCACAGGCCTGGCGGGGCGGAGACCTGGGCAGATCCGGGGTTTGTCTCTGGGGAGCACAGGGCGGGTGATGGGTGGGGAGGGGCTGGCGGCTTCCCGACTGCCCTCCCTCCAGCTCCAGGGCTGAGTGCCCGGAGGTCGACCTGCAGCCTCTTCTGCTGCTGCGGATTTTCAGGTCTGTGCTCCTGAACTGTCTTCATCTGGGGAGGACCCTTGAATGAGGGGAGACAGAGGAGACGGTCCCCAAAGCCGGGATCTGTTATGTCCTCGAAGAGACTGGTCGGGGAGGGGCTGCTCCAAGACCCCCCAGGACAGGAGGCCCTGGGGCCCCGCCTCAGATGGCTGAGCGGATCAGCCTGGGGGTGCAGCTCTGCAAATCCGTGGTGATGAATTCCTGCATT